TTTTTTTTTTTCTTTGGTTAGACATCGTGGACATCATCGCAGATGGAGATTCTAATATACTTTGTTTTTTTGGTTATGACACGTCAAGATGAAAATCGGGATAATCAAAGATTTAGTGTCCAACTGAAATTATCTATAATTTTCATTTGTTTATTTCATTTCGTCCTGAGCCCTAAACATTCTAAACATATTAATATTTACRAATATAATTTAGTTTTSRCCAGAATTACAATTTAAATATCAAATTGTATGAAAATTTTACGCATGACGGATATAGCCGTTGAAACACAAAATTCTGCCATTCTTCCATGACGGATATAGCCGTCGAACACACTTAACTGGTTAAATAGATACAAATTCTTTTGTCTCGTGTGCATATAGACAAGAGATTATTTTTATTTCACCTAGATGTGTGTGAATTGGAATCCGATAAATATTTTTCTTATTTCTATCGTCAATTTTGTTCGCGATCAAATAAAACTTACTTTCACCGATATCTTTTTAAATTTAGTAGAAAGTTTTACGAGTGAATTTTTGTATTTTTTCATTTAAATCTATCTTAATTGGTCGACTTATTATTGTAATTTATAATTTCTCGTCGATAAATCAATCAAATATTTTGTATTCACTTTTACATTCCCTGTTATACTTAGAAGATATTCAAAGAAGGGGTTCGTACCCTTTTCCGTCTGCTTCTCGGCGTAATTATTTTTTCTTTTTAATCTCTGGTATATATATATAGGTATATCTTTCTGGAACACTTCGGTAAAAGGTATTACTCAGTCTCCTTTCCATTGGCTTTAGCAAATAATTTTGCCCCCTTAATTTCGTTTGTACCGTCTTTTTCTTCTTAAAAGGGCCTACTTTACGCTATTACGTTGAAAAAATATCTCTTCTAACGTCACCCCATTAAAGAAGAATTCCTAATTCAATTTACATTAACATTTTCTCGCTCACTCACTCACTCTTCCTTTCTCTTTCTTTCATTCTTGACTCCGACTAATTCGTAAAACCGTGTTCGCAATTGGTTTAAGAAATTTAGAGCTGACAATTTTGATTTGAAAAATGAAGACCGCTGAAATGTAAACTTGTGCACTTTTTTACCTTTTTTTTTTTTTTGAACAAATAATATATGAAAATTTGTATAAAGAATATTTTCATTTTTCGACTAGAACGATGTGGAAACGTTAACGAGCAATAAATACCACGTCGTCTCTTTTGAACATTTGTATATTCATATATATATATAAATACGTATATTGTTTATAGAAAACAAGTGCAACACGAATATTTCTACAGGATGGAAAAGCACTGAAATATTAAGCTTAATTAAAGCGCATCTGCGCGCAAAATGTATTTTATACGTCTATTAATCCTCAGTCACAGATCAACAGATCATTTGCAAAATATATTCACACCGCAGGCACATTTTAACGTGTTCCAGGCCCAGATAAAACCGATTCCTATTTTTGTTTATTCGTTCGTTTATTCGTTCGTTCGTTCGTTCGTTCGTATCCTCTAATCATTATTTTTCTCTTATATATTATATAATCCTATTCTCGCTAATGAACTGGAATACTTTATATCAATTTTTCGACAGGATCGTTTAATCTTTCTTCCGACCGAAAACAAATATCTGCCTATCTAACTTTTTCCGAATATCTCTAACGATTATTTAAATTTGTTTCAATAAGAATTAGAAATTCGAATTCTCGGTGAAATAAATAAATAAATAAAAAAGAAAAGTAACAACAAAAATGATAGAACATTCGTCTTCGTCCATTTTATAGGGGTAGGGGAGGGAGGGAAAAAAGAGAAAAAATAAAATAATAAAAAAATAAAATGAATGATTCAGAGTTTGGGTCCGAGTCGTTGCATCCTACCGAATCTATCTGGTGTATCGATACGAACGCTAGTTAAATTTCGATAGGAGGCCGGGGATGTGGATGAAACATGGTGTTTTCGTATCGTTGGTCAAAACGCATAACGCGCGACAAATATTCCGCAAATAAAAGCTCGCCTCCACCTCCTCCCCCTCCCATACCCACTCCATTTCAGTCCACTTCAGCAGCCCATTCCACCTGTCCACGGTTCGAACGATTTTATTTAAAAAAGAGAGAGAAAGAAAGAAAGAAAGGAAAAAAAAGGAAAGTCGATACGATCGGTGGCTTCGTAGTGGTGTTCGGCAATTTTTAACAAGTCGCGTTCGTGTCAACGTTGGAACGAAAATACTGCAAGGGGTGGTTGAGGGGGAGATATAGAGGGGGTTAGGGTATATTGCGATGGTAGTGGTATGATGATAGTGGTGGTAGTGGTGGTGGTTGCCACCGGTGGGCCTGGCTTATCGACGACGCACCTTTTATTTTATTCCACGAGTGTGCTTTTTGCGCTCGTTGCTCGTTTTACGCCACCGCTTTTTTTTCGCCTTTTTTTGTCGAACGGTGGATTGCTCGGCAACTACCAATCAGGATCATCTGACAGGAAATACCCCCACTACTTTTATCTTTCTCTCTCTTTACCTACTATTCCCATATATATATAGTATATAATATATGGTATATAGTGTATATATATCTATATATATATATATATGAAACTCTATACGTTCACTGACCAATTTGTTCGATAAAAGCCCTCGACTGATTGGCCTGACAACGCGGCCACGGCTCTTTTTTCCGAGCGTGAAATTTACCGTGGTAACCAGTACTCTCTCTTTCTCTCTCTCTCTTTCTTTCTTTTTTCTAATTCCTGGTATTTCTCTCTACTTGTCTTTATGATTTGTCACTCTTCTTATTGATTTATATACATTATATATATATTTTTTCTTAAATTTTTTCAAAGCCAATCAAAAATTTCTATCGATCGTTCACCCGCTTCTTTCCCCTTTCATTTACCTTACTGATTTTATTGTATTCTGTTTTATTATTTTTAATTTTTCAAAGTTATACCATATATATATATATATATCTATTGATTGATTTTCACATCTTTTTCTTTCTAATAGTTTTCAACGTAATAATGAAAAGGTTACACGATAGGATATCTAACATCGTACGAAGTGTACGATCTCGAGATAGGAAAAGTAAAGACAATCGAGGGACCTGTTGTCTCATTGTTTGTCGATACATTAATTTCGTCGAAAAACTTTTCTTATCGGCATATCAAAGTGGAACAAGTCCTGCGTGTGTCTCAAATTCCGATATCATTTCGTGTTCGTGTTTTCACTCTTTCCCTTTTTTTTTTTTTTTTTTTCGAAAATGTTTCATTAATTTTCTTTCAACTAACAACTAATTATATTTGAAATATGTCGTATACGCGGATTTATGTTACATATATATATATTATCATTAAGTTTGTAAATTATTAGAGAAAAAGATTCTTATCGTGTTAATAAAATTCGAGTAGCCAGGCAACACACATGGTTAAAACCGATGCGATGCATTAGACGTGTAAACACTTATTATCTATCTATATAGTGTATCCTACATGAGCAATCTGTCTTTCGAGGTTGTCTCACTCTTTCGAATTAATAGCTGGTAATAGCTGTTCGAGTGCTAATATAATACATATATCGTCTCATCTCGTCTCGTCTCGTTTCATCGATTTGGCTAATAAATACATAAACTTTATAATAATATTTTAATCAAATATATTAGATTACTCTACTATACCGTTATTGAAAATACTTTATATTCCAAATTTCAACTTTAGTTATCAGGTAACACAATACGAAAAATATGTTTGTCTGCAATTTTTCTAATTTTTTATGTATGCAACAAATGATAAAATATATTAAATAAATTGATCGATGAATAAATATAAGAAAGAAAAACAAAACAATACCAGTAATTAAAGTAATTTGTAATGTTTTAATAGTATCGAAGAAAAGTATTAATACTTGACGTACGTTAGTTTATATCAATGTATATGTGTGATGATATTTGTCGTCGATCTTAATGCCAGATAGGATAACAATCGGTAGGTGTATATATATATATATATATATCTTTTCTGGGATCGGCAGAGAACGCATCAATGACAGCTTAGCGAGACACGATTTATGAGGATAGTTATCGGCTTTAACGACCGTTATCGTGTGTATTCGATTTCTTCGCAAATTATTATCAAATCATTAATTTATCGGAAGATTGTATTGAAAGAGAAGGGATAGTCTAATCTTTCGACAAAAAAAAAACTTCAGAAAAAGATTCCATTTTTTTTTTCTACAAAATTAATTTTACAATAACAACAACAAAAACATGGAACAAACAATAGGAATTGAATTTTATTTCTACTTATTTTATTTTGATTTTTTTCAGAAGGGTTGAAATGCAAATGTTACTAGTCCCCTTTTTCGATTTTATTTATTTCTTGGTCAGGTGTATAGTTCCGAAACGTACGAAATAGTGTATATAAGATTATAAACATACTTCTTATATAAACGCGTTACAGGATACATTATTGCAAATCATTTTTCTAAGTAAAAGTGTTTAACGTCGATTCGTAGTCATATCAAAATCGATTACACACATATATATATATATATGTTCCTATCGCATAATCGAATCTCATGATCCTTGTAATATATATTCCAATAGTTTCAAAAAGTTTTTCGATCTATGATACGATAATAAGGGCATGTAAAACAATTACTGATAAGAGTTTCAAAAAATACAAATAAAAAAAATACGTAAAAGAAAGAAGCCTATTGCGATAATTACGAGAATGATGATGCCGATGACGATGACGACGATGATGATGATGATGATGACACAATGATGCTTGTAACGTTAGAAAAAAGATAAAACTCTTGACATTGATCAAAGAACACATTTATTAAATACTAACGATAATAACGATTAATAGTTGGCATATCATAAAAAAAGGATAGGAAACAATGTAGATTGGATGGATATTATCGAGATGAAAAATATATCATCCTCTCTATCCTTAGGTTAGGATAGAGAAGAAGGGGAAAATTGTATCGAATAATCACTTACCGGCTAAGTCAGCGGGTAATCTGGGATACAACATTCCAGTTCTAGCTAACCACTCGAGTTGAAGTTGATGAATGTGATGTTGAGGATGAGGACCGGTCGATTGAGGATGACCCACCACAGGTTGACCCTCCTTGTGTATCGAGTGAAATGCGCTACCACTTGCGGGATGATAATACAATCCCCCGGGATGAATGAGAGGTCCTCCAGGATGTATCAAGAGTCCTTGATTCTGTCTAACAACACCACCGGCACCGACGGCGTATGGTCCAGGTGCTAGACTTTGATGTCCGAGAATACCGTTACTCGTAACTTCCTCGGAACCAGGTGAAATAGGTGGGCTTGATGCTGGACTACGACTAGCATTGCTACCAGGACTGGTGCTACCCGTAGTCCTGCTAGGATCAACCTCAATCGAGCCGTCATCTTCGACGGTTTCCAAACGATCGTTACGATAAACTGTGTTAACGTTACGGCCTATTTGCATATTCGAGTCATTGTTGTGTATACTAGCAAGAAAATTGTCACGATTAGTAGATTGACTTTCGTGGCCGGATTCAACACCCGTCGGTGAAATAGATCTTGGATGTTGTTGTACGAACGGATGTAAAGGATTACCAAGGGATATGCCAGTTCTTTGATCGTCGTTACGTCTTATCGAGCACGGTGGTGATTCTCCTCTACCTTGAATAGATTGTACTACCGAATTGTTCGCGAGATTCAACGTGGATTCTTGTACGACATTTTTGTGATTTCTCGTAGGAAATATTTTCTGTCGATCTTGTTCGTCAATATCGTTACTGTGTTTTCCCGTAGTAGCTCGTCCAAGTAACGCATCGATACAGAACGACGTTTTACTCGAATTATTGTGTTGACTTGTCGAATTTAAAGTATATCCTTGTGGCGACAACGTTCTACCGGGTGACGTACCGGATTCACGACAACGATTATTAACCGTAGTAACATTGATCATCTCGTCTGGGAAACACTTCCTCGAGGTAATATTATTATCTTGTTCATGAAAGAAATTCTGACTGGCATGATCTTTCGTGTAACGTTTAGGACAAAGTTCCTCTTGGTATCTAACAGTTTGCGTTCTATCCTCTAAATTATCGGGTGATCTCGTACCAACGAAACGAATCTCTTCGGGTGATCTTACTCTAGGTTCGATAGGTGATCTAGCTTCTTCCGATCTAGGGGATGATGATCCAGGATCTTGTAATCTTTGTTGTATCCCATAAATTTGTCTCTGATGAGTTTGATGCAAATCCTCGGAAACTACTTGAGCGTTATAATGCATCGCTGCCATACTTCAACCCTCTCCTCAAAAAACAATACCTTGACGCATTATCTAAATGAAAAATCCTCTTTAATTGCACTGATTATTTATTTTATTCGAGTCGAGGTAACAACAACAATAACACTGATACGATCTATTGAAATGTTTCCATCTCGCGAGTGATAATAGCATGACCTAAAACACCACACAGCGATATTATAATAAATCCTTAATAACTTCGAAACGAAAATGTTGAAAGACAGAAAAGGTAGTAGCCTAGCCTATTAGCTTGGCGTCGCGTAGCAAAGTGACATCGTGGCTGACCGCGTGTCCGCCGAAAAAGCCTTCCCCTACTTTTGCCCCTCCATCTATCTATCTACCTATCTATCTGTCTATCTCTATCTCTATTTCTCTCTTTCTCGCTCACTCAGTAACGTTCTCCTGCCACGCCTCTCGTTGGGAACGTCGTAATCCTGCCACGCCTACGGGATCCCCTCTGATACTCTGGATACGGCGCAAGTTTTGGTTGCACCGAAGCTTATTCTCTCTCTCTTTCTCTCTTTCTCCCCCTCTCTCCCTCTTTCTCTCTCTGTTGCCTGCTGAATATGAGCGAGATGGGTGATATATCTCTATAGTAAAGACAAACTGAGAGAGAAAGACCAGAGTACCCTACCTCTACCCTCTACCCTCTCGACGACCAAGAAGAGGATTCTGACCAATCACCGACTCGTTTCGCCGTCCTTCGAGAAATAAGCTACGTGGGGAGTCCTCGGGAGTCCACGTGACAAGACGGAAAACGCGAGTGAATTTTGAACCCTATGAAGAGGTAGGTGGTTACTGTTCAAGTGGGAGCACCAAGAGAGTACTCTGTTTCCTCTCTACTGTACCAACCCAACTTTTCTCTCTCTCTCTCTCTCTCTTTTCTCATTTCTCATTTCTTCTTCGTTTGTACTTCTCTCCTCTCGATCGAGATACCCTCGGATTATAATCGACATTAGCTAGACATTAATATAGCTAGTCGACAACCTACCCGATATCACTTTTCATCCCCCTTTCTTTCTCTTTCCCTTTATTTCTTTTTATCTATTTCTATCTCTCTCATTCTTTCAATCTTCATATTTTTTCTCATTCCTATCTTTTACTCTTTCTTTCTTTCTTTCTTTATTTCTTTCTATTTCTCTTTCTCTTTACAGTATCTATACGTTTCTTCTTTCGGAGCACAATGTAAGTATAATTCATTGGATTATTTCTATTTCTCGAGCTCCAGCGCAAAATGGGAGAATCTCCATTCAGAGATTACGTCTACGTGTCTCGTAAATTTGATTGGCCAACTTTTCTTCTTCTTCTTTTTTTTTTTTACTTCTTTTTTTATTATATGTTTTTCGTAAGATGAAATGTATATATAAGTAATAACGATTGAGATAATATACTCGTGCATATACGTATATATATATATATATATATATATATATATGTGTCTGTCTATCTTTATCTATTTTAAATGTTTATTTTATACAAAAAAATAAATTATAAAAATTCTTTACATTATGACAATTAGGATAATATCGTCTATGTTCAGGCAAAACTCACTAACAACATTTATATCTTTAAACAAATCAAAAAAATGACTTTATTGCGATTACTAATCATTACTTCATAACAAGCAATAATAGAAAAGTATATATTTTCTATGAAAAATTTCTTTGACAATAAACCATCATGACGATATACCTTATGTCTTATTTTATTAATTATAACTTGTCTTTTATATTGGCCTTTTTTTAATAAGAAAAAATTAATTATAAGAATAATTAAAAAAAATTGTAATAATAATAATTTGCCTTTGAAAATAATAATACGATTTTGCACTAATCCCAAGATAAGATTATTATCTTTCTAGATAACAGCGAACCCATTTGCAAATGCCATCGCGTATCGGCAAATTTTATCTCTACGTATTACTGGTCAATTATTATTTTTAACGATTATGCTTATTGCCAAAGTAGACTTATATTTGCGAAAAAGTCACACACATACTTATACGGATATACATATATACGTATTACTTACATTGTCTTGTGCAATTTATTATAGGAAATTATAGTGATTTTCTTTTTTTTTTTTTTTCAATATTTATTTTTATCAACACGACAAGAGATCAGAAAAATTAATATGTTTAATATTTATCTAATATATACACGTAACACAACATTTAAACGATGAAGATAGATAGGATCGCAGAGACTCGCGTTATCATTGAACCTAATAGTTGCGTAATAGCTATAACGCTTACTTTCGTAGTAATCCAGAACGTTTATCAGTTTCTGTACACTTTTTCCTATCACCCCGATGCATTTGGTTATCGTAAAAGACAAACTGTTACGTGTTCAAACGAGTAGGTATTACTACGTTTGGTCTATCATAACCCTTACCCTAAGAGAGTACATTATATTAGAAGAGTTTTTTCCATGAAATTATTCAATCATTTTATTCGATAAACATTCATTGATATCCGTATCCTATTATTGTATATACTAATTGATACGATTGACATGTTGAGATTATTTTCCAATTTTTACAATTATTGTGTATGAATGAATGAATTATAATAAAAAATAACATAATTAAATAACAACTCAACTACATACAAAGAATAAAAAATAGAACCCACCGAGTGGTAGGATTTTTCTTGAAATCTTTTTTACACGAGTCTCTACTCTAGCAGTAGCATTATTTCAGTTGAAAATATGGACACAGTCAAAATGATGGATCACCGATGACCAAGTGTCGCCCAATTCGTGGTACCTTTCTTTAATGCGGTAGGTTTCGAACGCGGTACTTAAATAGTCCTCTTCTCTCGTTCATTCGTTCATTCGTTCGTTCGTTCGTTCTTTCGTATGTAACCAAATAAGAGAGAGGAAAGAATGTTTGTTTAAGGGACGAAGCACGTCCAGCACACTCACGGAATAGTCTTCTACTTTGCTTCGATACGTGTCTCTTGAGAGTCAGAGAGAAAGAGAGGGAGACAGAGAGAGTACCATCCGCGACGACGCGTTGGTAGTTTCCTAAATATGCATGTATGTGTGTATGTACACTGTCGTCGACATACCGTAATTAACTACTTAATTATATACTTATTACTTAATCTAATCAATCACACTATCTTTCTGTGTCCCAGTTTTATGTAATAAAATATTAAATGTAAATAACGGACTATATTAATTTACAATATAACAATATTATGATGAAAATATATTTCTTTTACTTTTTAATATTATTAATAAATGTTATATTAAAACGATTTGTTATTTATTGAATAAAATGTCTATTATAAAATATTAATTAATAATTACTGACCATTTATATTTAAAATATTGACCAATTATTTTGTATTTAAGAAAAATATTTCCAAGTATTTTCAAAAAAAAAAAAAAAAAAATATATATAAATGTAATAAGTGTTTATTAAATGTAATATTACAAAGTAATTTTGTGTATAATTTTACTAGCATTACTTTTCATATTAGAAAATTTGGTTCCGATTTTTCTTCTCCATTTTGAATGTTACGCCAATGCATTCACGTATCAGGGTCTATGCAGGTAGTAAACACATGTATATCGTATTGTATATCGTTCATGCATATATATACACACACATACAAATATATTTACATATGTATGTACATTTACGAAACGTGGAGACATCTTCTCCTCTGTCACCCTTTGCAGCCCGTGTAAACATTGAAAGATTTTTAGCCACCGATTACGCTCTGTCACGATAAGTTAAAAGTTATTTTTCAACTATCCTCCTCGTTCTTTCTCCGTATCTTTTTCCTTTTGAAAAAAATACCTTCTTATCGTATAAAGTTAAGGAAAAAAAAAAAAAATCTATTTTGTTCAAGAACGAAATAAAGAATATTTTCAAAAGTATAATACTATTATAAAAAAAAAAAAAATAAAATAATAATATATATCTTTATGCTAACGCGATAATAAAAGAAAATCCAAACAACAATCGATATAACGTTAATAATGATTGAAATCATCTGAATGTCATCTTTCTTATATATATTTCGCATAATCATTTGTCACAACCATTCGAATTACTATAATATACAAGATATCTCGTCAATTTGTACGCAATGTGTTAAGTGTATTACATACGTGTACTTTACGAATAAAAGAATGAAGTTATCGCGATACAGGATGGTAATTAACGATTTGATCGGCTATTTCAAGCCGAGCTGTATAAACCGAGAGCTCGTGAGCCGTACTCTTAATCCCTCATGGATAAGATCGTTCGATAAATGCTCGATTAGGTATCACCAGGAGAGATAAATCTTAATTGGTGTCGTGTTAGCTTTTATCCAAAAATTCGTGTATGTTAAAGACACTAATTGGGCTTTACCCTTTATCCAATTCGATATCATTTCTTATATATTTATATACGATACGAATGATATTATCCAGATAATAATAATAAATTAAATAAATAACAAAATCGCGAAAGCTCAAAAATGAAGAACACCTCCATCCTGTGCACTGTGCAACTAATTGTAAGAGTAAATTGCATCGTTTTATATTGCAGGAAGTATTCTTCGTATTATATTACAAGAGCTACCACTTAAAGGACAATTTAAAATCTAAAGACACAATTGTAAATTAATTAACAATACTTTTTTAACTATAATAAACTGTAAATCTTTTTCTTTCGGTCGTTAATAACCCTTTTTCAAGTGGTTGATGCGATATTAAATAAATGAAAAAAAAGAAACAAAAAACAAAAAAAAAAAACAATCGCAAGGTATAAAAGATATTAGTAAAATAAATTGAAAGCTTAAATACGATTATCTTATTCTTCTAAATTGTCCGGAAAATTACAATCGATAATTAATATCACGACGTTCTAATAAATTTCTTAAATTCCGAGTTTATATCCTCGTGTCTTCGATAATGATAATATGACTCATGTTATATGTGACTCACGTAATATAACGCAAGTTACGTTATACGACATATTTCTTCTTTCGT